GCACATGGGTAGGAGAGTCAGCGCGCCCGGCAGCGGCCCCGCAAACCGCCACCCGGGGGCTGTCTCAGCCCATAGGCACCTGGTGACAGGGCCCAGGACACCACAAGAACGCAACACGCCGCAAAAACCAACACGACGGCCCCCCTGGCCACGTTACCAATTCGGGGAGCGGCGCAGCACAAGCGAGCTGGCCACCCCTGCCATCCAACGCGACAAGGAATGAGCAACCGGCCCTCGCAGCCGTGGGGGGCTGCCCGAGGCACGCCTGGATTTCATGCGTTACGGGCCTGTGACGCCTTCGGCGAGAGTCGTCCGGCGCCAAGATTCGTCCCCGCGGGCAGCGGCCCTGTTTGCAGGGGAGCGCCCCAAAACCCCGTTCCAGCGTCCAGCTCTGCGCCTGTTGCAAGCGGCGAGCCTCCTCGTGTCCGGCGCCTCGAGGCAGCTGTCCCGCGCCCGAGGGTCAGGTTCAGCCTCAGACTCGACAGGGTCAGATCCGCCACCCGCGGCCCCAACAGGCCGTTGTGAGAACCAACGGGCGAGAAAGCAGCGGGCAGGGGATGCCACGCGACGACCGCAACTGGATGCACCTTTCGCGTCATCGGCCCGTAACCCAGCGCCACGGGGGCCCGCTGCTGACAGATCTGACCGCTGGGGGCGGGTTGGGTCCGCGAGCACACGTGCGATTCACTGCACCGCCGAGGTCTCGCTCACCTTTCGCGTGCGGCATCTGGCGCCGTCTTGATATTCCACGTAGAAAGTCGTCGTCTTGGGGTCGACGCCCCATCTCAGCGGCAGGTATGGGCGCGCCACCGGAGCATTGAGCTGCCCCGGCGCCATGGGGGCGCTCGTTGAGGGACACCCAGAGCGGAGGCAAGTCGACACGGTCAACTTGCGGCGGCTGATGCTCGTGTCGACCACCGAAAGTCCGTAAGCCCGTACACCGTCGAGGCCGTGCTGGGCACACTGGCATTTGACCCACGCCGCTTTGACCACTGTTTTCACCCATCTCTGCAGTGTGGCAGGGCCACGAGGAAAAAGTCTCTTTGTGGACATGGAACATTGTAAATAGAAGCGGTCATGGAGCAATTGGCCAAGTACTCCAGGACCGCTTCAACGAGCAGATGTGGCATGCCTAGGAACGTGGGGTTTTTCTAATGGTCCTTCCAAAAAACCACAGAACTAGCGCCCACAAACAGAAGGCACACCAATGGTCACTTGTACGCTCAGGTAGGTCTTGCCCTGGGCCGGTCTATTGCATGATACTGTTACGCACATTGGCCTGATGTGGGGGACACCCTATTAATGGCCTCTTGGTGTGGGGGACGCCCTGCCCAAGATACGGTAACACCACCCTAACTGGATCTTATTCTATTCTATGATATGATACGGGAGTAGGTCGGGGTGGTCTTGCCTAGGTCCCCGTAAGGACCTAGGTGCCCGGCGAGGTGGGTCCGCGGTTTAAAGAGGGTAGGCGCCCCATACCACCAACTTCGTTGTATCCGATACAACCTGCCAGGGCCAGCAAGATCAAGGTGCACATACAAGTGCAGAATGTGCGCACGATAGCATGGCATCAAGTTACTTGGCCATCCCTTGGATCCGGAACTTCATCACCAAATGGGTGTAATTGGGCAAATGTGGGCAAGCATCACCCTCGGAGGCTGGTATTACACTACCTTTATCCAGGCACTTAGTTGTGGTTAAGGCATCTTTATCAGTGGGTGCTATTGTCCCAACAATGCAGCTGGGCTTTTTGAATAGCATGTCAAAACCAATCATTACAATACTGCCATGTGGCAAGGCTCCAGAGCCAAGAGCCAATTACCAAAGGTGATAGCCAAAACGCGAGGACGCGCTTTGGTGGAGACACTTTGGAAAGGAATAGGCCGGAATTCTCATGCGGCAGCTAGCGAGGTTGCTGCCAACCAACAATGTAGATGGATGACGTTTGGATGGGCATTGTGAATCACACCAATAACAAATGACGATCATTTAATGCATTTGCATTGGTAGTACTCTGCACGCTCAACAACAAAAGTAGCATAAGTGTGTTCTCAGTACTTCTATGTAGTTGGTTGCATTCGAGATCTAAAAAAGGAAAACATACACTTCCCACCGTACACGCATTCATACATGTGGTGGTAAGTGAAGTCCCTCAAGCAGACCTGCTGCCCTCGGTTATATAAATAGCAACACCTTCCAAAATTAGGCGTTATCACTTATCTATATACCAGTGTTGGTCAAACACACATAGTGGATTACGCCAAACCCAATCTGACTAGTCCACCATTCCATTATCGCCACTTCCGTATAGTTTGTGACCCAACCTTGCATATACCATGCATTGCATAGTACCAAGCTTACCAAGCTTACACATTCCAAGTCACTATACTTCAGTTAGTATGTCATACTGACTCATTGAGTCAGTAACTAGGATGGATCTGTAACTACTCATACATTCCAACCCCACAATCGGTTTCCATCCCCAAATCATCACACCACATTCATCGCTCAATATCCTTTAATGGAAGCGCCTACCAAGGGTAAACATGCACTCCAAAACTAACCCAGACCTAGGTCCTCGTGTAACTCACATTGGGTACCCCAACATTCTGGGTTGTAGTCAATCATGGGTCAAGATTGACCTGGCCTCCATCAAAGCGCACACTCACACCCAGTAGCGTCCCATCAACCCCAGCTAGTCTGGGTGCCCCGAGAATGCCACACCAACTGCTAGTCTCCTAAGAGAGCTTGTGCAAGCTCGTTGGTGGCGCACACAATAGACAAACTGCAAAGCACTTACAAGTGTGTTCGGGTCTGTTTGATAAAGAGACACCCCTGGAGCTACCTCCTCCGGTGCCAGGTACCCCTTTACACCGAGAACCCCACCTAATACATCCACTATTCTCTCTAAACTCCAACCTTCAACCCGCAATCTGCTGATTCAACCTCCGCTTCCAGGCTACCTTCCAGTCCCGAAGGTCCCACGGCAACCTCCAGGTGAAATGGCCGTAAACCCGACTGCTGCACTTGCATGACACGCTCGTAGTCCCACTCCCAGAAGGCCTCCTAACTCCTTGCAACCTCCATAAACCACGTGGTGCCGGTCTGGTGCACCACCTCAAACCACATACCCCACTAGTGGAGATCCAATACTGGATCTCCAACTGAACCTGAGTCCATCGCGTGACCGAGAAGCGCAACGGTACTAACCCCCATCTCGATAGCCAAGCCATGACTCCGGCTTGTAGCTCATGCAAAGGGGCGCCAATAACCAGACTTATCAGTTCCCATCCTCGGCGGCACTCCGCGGCTCTCTTCAGCCAGCCACAGATGTCCTTGCGGAGTTCCTCATCCAGCGGGGCCACAACACCTTCCTTCTGCATTTCCATATCCACACCGAGGCTCCACAGCTTCTGCGTCCATGCATCGAACTCGTGCAAGAAGGCATGCGGTTTGACATACTGAGAGAGTGGCAAAAAAAACTTTCTGACAGTCCTCCGCCATCTTGTTCCTTGGGATGGAGCATTCCACCTACCACTTTGGGTGCCCATCCAGCCTGGATGATCCAGGAAGCGTGCAATGCGCAAATCTACCAACCAGCATCCGACCTGCACGAGTTCCCACTCCAACTCACAGCGCCATATACCGAGGGGTCGCGACACCCTTGTCATAGTGGTATGCTTCCTTTTGCAGCCGGGTGTACAAGCAAAACAGCTCCATGCACCGTTTCCTCTGTCTCCTTTGTTGCCGCATCGCGCTGGTCAAACGGGATCCCGCTGACTACCCCTGCATGGAGTTCTTGGGTACTGAAGTACTCTACGCGCAGTGCCCCATATGGAGGGATGCACCTATTGATACAATGTGGTTAGTGCCGTAAACTATAGGGCAATAAATGTTGGAGATCCTCGCATTCATTGCCATACATCTGATGACTACATGGTCCAGTTCTCTATTCCTTCTCTGATCGTGGCCTTATTATGATCACTGCAACCCACCAATTGGTGCCAACAGACCATGTCCGGCGCCAGTCAGTCATAGTTAATTGGGCGTACATGCCTGCTGCAAACCTTCACTCACACCATGACGATTTATATTCGCCAATTCCATCGCTGCCCGTCGCACCGTCCAAGAGATGTACAAACTACCCTCGATTTCGTATTAGATAGGGGAGTAGCAGCTTTGGTATAGCAGCGCAAATGCGGTCGAACAAATGCGCTGGCTGCACATTACATAAACAACTATTCAAAGTTTGGTCCTCAGTGCAAGTCGCACAAAACAGCGCACACATCCAAGCCACCAGGGTGACCGGCATCAGCACAGCCCACCATTACACACCCGTCGTCCTCTTCGCAAGCGGGTGGACTCCCAGGCGATGGCAGTTGGCCCTTAGCCAACAAACAGTGGACTCAAACGAACAAACAGTGAACGTGAAATCGGCCCGCATCGTCTGATGGGCATCGGAGGCAAGCGTGATCATGGTGAATTGCTATCGTCCTGCATGCTGGGGCACCCCTCCTATGTAATCTATCGCAGTGTGTGTCCCCACAGTGAGGACGACCACATTGCGCCATTGTTTTGTGTGTGTGCCTATATGTGTGGGCGGGAATTAGTTGTGTGGGTGGATGGCAGAGCCATGTACATTCGCAATAGACCCAGTCGCACCAGACAACAGAAGACAGTAGCCCACACGGATTTAGCAGCTCTTTGCAAGTTCCTTTTACATCGAAATAAGTTGCATAAATAACGTATCTGGGCGCCTGTTTTCTCCCCTGCGAAACTTGTGCCCTCAAAACTCACTATTGGAGAAGCTGGAGCAGTTCTCAAAACAGAAAAAATCTAAACCAAGCCCAGAGTCCAGTGCTTCCTGAAAATTGCATTTTCAATGACACATGCAGGCAGATAGGCACTGAAATATGTCCTGTTTGTTGGGGTCAGACCAGCCACCCACCCACTTAGCACAACCTGCTCTCACACAGCTGCTAACCCAGACACCAGTTCTACACGGCGGCTTTGTCATTTGGGACATTCTGCACAAGAGAAACAAAAGCAGAATGGGTCAGTTCATGCAAAGGGCACGCAGCACAGCAAGAACTCGCTATGACAATAAATTAATGCCACTGCAGACACCAGCAGACATTGTACACAACTACACAGCAAGGAAGCAACAGTGTTCACGATTCCAGACTCTTTTCAGATTGGAAAATAAAATCTCCACAACAAGATGCCGGCAGCTCTTGAGGCAGTTGAAACGGCCAGGCAACACAACAATACATCAGGAGCTCAACCCCTGTCCGGATAGCGCAATACTGCCAACATTCATGGCGACAAGTCATGCAACCAACAGACAGTTTGTATCCTACAGTGCTGGCAGGCTCTGCTGACAAATCATCAAGAATGCAGCAGGATAGCCTCCAATTACCTGGACTTGCTGCGGGGTCTCAGTGTTCATAGACAGTGCCATGTTCACTGCCCCGGGGGCCATCTGTATTGCCTGCATCCCGGACAGAGATGCCAGTGCTGCATAGCCAGAGGGCAGTGCTTGTGGGTTGCCGTCCTCACCAATCACCACCATTGACGTCGACCCATCCCCGTTCAGACCGCTGTACATGCCAGGCGCAAGGCCACCAGCCTGCATTGGGAGCATGAGTCCCTCTGTAGTGACTGCCACCTGGAGGGGCATGCTGACAGCATCTCCCACCACACTTGTTTGAACGCTGGCAGCCTGGATCGAGTTTGTGAGTTGTGGTTGAATGGTGGGCTGCTGGAGGTTGCCTGCCAATTGGCCGTTGAAGCCTTGCTCGAACTGGCTGGATTGCATGGGCTGGCTGGTGGTGACCATGGCGGACTCGATGGTGTTCGTTTGGATTTGGGCCAGACCCATGGACGTGTTGGGCAAGGTTGCCTGCTGCACGTTGGCGGGTGCCAAGCCTGCTGCCTGCAGGGATGATGGTTGCTGCATCCCTGCCATTGTCTGCAGGACCACAGGTGCAGGGAGGTATGTGCCATCAGGCTGGAGGACAAGGACCGTGGGAGGAGGGGTGGCGCCACCTGCAGGACAATCAGAGGCATATCATGGACTACTGGTCGACCTGTGAGCTCACTGCCTTGCTGAACAGTTGAACGACAGAGGGTAGTGCTTTGTGGCCAACAAAGGCGTTGACCTGTTTGCCTACAGAGTTCAAAGCATCTTCCCCTGTGGTGCGGTTCACAATTCCTGTGGTGCTGTGCACTCGTTGAATTCCCAACCTGCACGGCAAAACACGCTACTGCACATGTTTGGGCTGCAACTGAAAGAGATGAGGTGTAACACAGCCATCGCATCGGTGTTCCAGGCCCCAGAACCATTTCATGACTCAGACCAACTCCTTCGACACCTTCACTCATGCCATGAACCTGGGTCACAGTCTTCACACAAACAACCAGGCACCCATCGCACAAGCCGATTTCCACAACTGGCAGACGTGCATGCATGCCAAATCAAGAAAACAACAATAGCAACATACCTTGTGGAGTTTGAAGCACAAATTGAGCACCTACTGATAGGCCTGCATTCGCTGGCATCTGCTGAACGACCTGGGTGCCATCGGCAGGCAGCCCTCCAAGAGGGGCCATGTTGACCATCGGTTGTGGAACTCCAGCCTGAGATAAGAAACCAACCATCAGTGAGCTCAGACAAAGACAATACAGAAGGCAGTGTATGTACACCCTCCTGCACAACAGGTTCCAAACTGTTTCTTACACCCTACAGAGGGAGATGAGGAAGGAACTGTAGGCAAAGAAGACAGAGCATGTGCAAAGATAGGTGCAATCCACTGTGGCCATCCAACAGATCCCCATTCTACCAGCAGTGAGCAAACAAAAATTACGGGGTTTGCAACTTTGCCGGCGGCGGCTCTGGAGGATACAAGGTGAAATCGACCTCAACAATGCTGCACAACGGGGCGTTTCCATACACTTCCAAATATGAGCAGGGATTTCAGTTTGTACAACACAGCACAACGTACCCCGTTAAGAGCCGGAGCCGCAGTCGCAGAGCCATTAAGGGCCGCAGTCGCAGAACCATTAAGAGCAGCAGTCGCAGAGCTATTAAGAGCCGCAGCCACAGCTGCAGCTGCAGCCGCAGAGCGTGCGTTTGTCATGGGCGTTGGTGTTGGCAATATCTCCCCTGGTTCAGCCTGGTGGTGCTGCTGTTCACTCAACTGGGGTGGCCCAACTGGTGTCCGTCCCAGACGAGACTTCCTCTGGTCGAAGCCTCTCAATGTTGCCATCACCTGTACATGCATGGATCTCTCAGGTATCATTCAGAAAACAGGTGCTTCATCAGAACTTTCAAATGTATCATTACTAACACACCTGTACAATACAACACAGTACATCGAGTGTCAAAATCAACCATGTCTCAATCGCTACAATCAACATACGCACAAAGCTGCACCCCCTGGTTGCAACCAGGGGCACATAATCAAATGATGGCAAAGGCAGCAATGGGCCTCCTCCCCTAGCACGCTGCCTTCCGCAGTGCAAGCTTGCTATTGGGTTTTCAGCACAAAAACAATCAACAGATCGGACTCAATCTTTCTGACATGATGCACAATACACCTCCAGCCAGCGCATGTTGGCATTAAGGCATGCTCCCATCTTGGAGCTGCGTTGCTTCTGGGGAACATACCATCGTGTGTGCACGCAACACGGCATCTGGATCTCCACATATGTGCACTGTCTGAGTAGTATCGCCCTCAACAAGATCTGCACCACAACGTTCATTTTGAAGTCACGACCTCCCAAATACGAATTATTCTGCAATCTATGAATGTCTACATCCATCTACGCTTTGCACATCATACACAAACCATGCCAGCACGCCCTCCGGGTGTCACTTGCTCTACCGATCAGCTTTTTGCTGTGATCATGAACAAGTGAGCACGCACAGTGTCATGGTCATGTAAGTGTACAAGAACCCAAGGAAGAAACTTCCGGGAATCGCCCAGCGCATAGGGTCCATCGGAGAGCATACTTACGATCGACTCTGACAGAGGCTCCTGTGCTGCTCTTGATGTTTTTCACATTCCCACCCCCCTTCCCTATGAGGCACCCGACCATCTCAGGAGCGATGTGCAGCTGGATGGTTGCTCGAGAGATGTATCCATGCTCCATCGTCCATTCTCCTGCCTCTTCCATCATCACCGCTCTCACCTCCTTGCAGGCTGCCTCAACCTGAGGTAAAAAACAACTCCGTTCAGATGCCTGTGCATCAACAAGGGCAGCTCCCCTAGCAACAAGTAAGGCCCGTGATGCGGAGAATTCTCTGCAATGAGCAAAGTGCAATCCAGCTGCCTGCAGTTGGTGAACAGCAGCACGCAGCAACAAAACCAGACCTTGGTGATAAGAGGATCATTGAGCATAGGAAGAGAAGTATACAGATGGCACGTAAAGTAATAATCAGCACAAAGCCCCAAAGAGCCCGGCCATTGTTGGTGGCAAGAAAGATGGTTATCTGCCCTTCGGAAACGCGTCCCAACTGAGACTTGCCTCATAACATGCAAAACTCTGCCTCAACGAATGTCGGCAGCACAATCGCACCCAGCTGTACCTGGACCCTGGTGCCGATCAGTTCCACGACCCTTTCCGATTCTCCATGCTGCGGCTCACAAAGGTGGACATGTGCTCCCGAGATGCGCCTTATCCTTGAGACTGTCTCACCACGGTGTCCAATCACTGCCCCAGCCAGGTCCCTGCGGACGGGCATCTCCGCCTTGATGCACACCTCTTCGGGATCCGTGGGTGCGTCGTGGATGTCTTTTTCATAGTCGTCGTACCTGTGCCTGGAGCAACACGAGGCCCAAGTGAACTGGGAGAACAGCAATCCCAGGCGCCAAATTTTCGGGCTGCATGGAGCCGGTGAGGCTTGCTCAGATTCTCTGCACAGAAAAGACGCTCCTCAGGTGCTCGAGATTATGTTTTGCCCCCCATGGACGGTGGCCAAGCGCAGGGGCTGGTGCCAGCTTTTCCAGGTCTGCCGCTGCCCAACACTGTACTGTGGGCGTTCTAGCCCCCTGGTCAGCGCCGCGCCCTGGCGGTCCCATCACGCAGACCTTCGCTTGAGGCCGATTTTTGGACCGGTTTCGGTTGCCAGACGAGGCTACCACCCGTGTTTCCTCATCCACAGGCCTGGGGTTATGGCGGCCAAACACGCGCCACTGCCGCCAGTGCCGCCACAGCCGCGACGCGCCCCGTGAGCAATGGCCAATGCCGTTAAAAATCCGTGCGCCGCACGCGCGGCTCGACGCTGAGGGCTCCCGAGGGCGGGCCACCGTCATCGGGCCCATCCCGCCTCTTCGCCTCCCCGAGTGTGCGTGTCTGCGTGTGTGTGTGTGTGTCGACAGTACCTTGGAAAGTCGTACTCCCCCGACTCCCCGGTCCTCCGCCTCTGGCCCCGCTCCGCCCGCTCGCCCTCCCCCCTCCGCTTGCGCCACCCACCCTCCTCCCGCCGGCCCCTCTCCGCCCACCGCTCGCGCCCCCAGCCCTCATGCCCGTCCTCCCTTGGACGCGACCTGTGCGCATCCCGCTCCGAGCGGTGGCCCCGCAGCCTGTCTCTGTCCTCGCCGTTGCGCCAGCCGTGTTCCCGCGGCCTGGCGTCCCTGGAGCGCGCCCCCGACTCCCGGTGGCCGCGCAGGATCTGAACATTGCTGATGTTCCTGCCCTTGAGCTCCACTGCCAGTTGGCCGTCCGGCCCGTCCGGGGGCCCCCGCGCCGCGTTCCATCCCGGCAGCGCGGCCGCCAGCGCCTCCCGCAGCGACGCGGGGTCCCTGTAGTCGGACGCCAGGGACGGGTCCTTCGCCGACGCGAACTCAGAGAAAATCTGGGCAAAATCGGCGAAGTCCGTGCCGGCGGGGGAGGGCGCGACGGCGGCCCAGCCCTCGGATTTGGAGGTGAAGCGACTGAGCAGGTCCCGGAGCCTGCCGTTGGTCGCCATGGTTGAGCGATGGCAGGGTCGCCGGGGAGGTTATGGAGGTTGCGCACGAGCTGGGGAGGGCCTGATGCAGGTCTGGCCTTTTGCCCGCCGCGATGCTTTCTGTTTCGGTGTCCTTTCGGTGTCGGGTGACTTTCGGGGACCCCGCTGGCCTCCCGACGGCTGGTCCGGCCGGCTGGGGCGGGCGTTGGCGCGGGGATGTTTGCTGCTGGAGTGGCGGAGCGGAAGGGCGGGCGGGCGCGTGTTTGAGGATGCGGAAGGAGATGGGCGGGGGTCATTGGGGGGGGGGGTCCATGCGATCCATGGGGCAGACGAGCATGAAGTCCTCGTACTGCCACGGCACACCCTTGCAACCGATTCTTTCCCCAATGTCAGGGATTCCGTGGTCTCAAGATCCCGACGCCTGCGCGCCAATGTTCTCGTCTTCCGTTGTACGTTGCCCCAACAACATGCAGCTGGACGCTCCCGGGCGTCTCCTAGTGTACTTTCCAGGCTTTCAGCGCTTCGCGTTCTTATCCAAATTGGGTGCTGGGGGCTGTCTGGTCTGCTGTGCACGATTCGAAAGTCGCGCGCGGGGCCTTGACCTTCGTGCGTCGCTGCTGCCGGAGCAGAAAGAATGTCTTCAGAAATGCAACTTGTAGGATGCCGAAGAGTGTCAACATTAAGCTACCGGAGAAGCCCGGCTAAAAGTCCATGCATGTGTCCATGATGCCTCCGAAGCTCTCACGCCCAGTCGTGTGAATTCATCCACACAACAGACGCGCCACCTTCCGGCGTCACACATTTTAGCCGGTGCAATTTCGACGCGAGCCGGGCTGCCCAGTGCATGTCAGAATAGGCCCAGTTAGATTGCCCTGGTTATTTCAATGTGTCGGGAACTCCACGGTAATGCAATAGGAACGTCATGCCGACTGTGAGCCTATTCTGCAGTGGACGTAGGCCCTCTTCGACATGCAAGAAAATCTGCCGTATGTCAATTTAAGAGGCATCACACGTCTTCAAGTCAAGGAGCTAGCCGTCAGTTCCTTTTTCTGTTCGGAAAAGCAGCGTCCATGATTTGCTCATTGAAGTGACTTCAAAGTGTTGCACACAATGGGCTATTTTGTAAATGGTGGACTCGCACAAATCCCCATCTTGTTGTGCGCCAGAGGAAACCTTGCAGGAATCCAGTATTATAATTGTTTCTGCTCACAAGCACGCCCGGCTACCCAGCCGATGTCTGTCCCTGGAGCCTTCCGAACCACTGCCCACCGTCCTGTACTGCCAATTCCAACAAGGTCAAATCCCAAGCGCATTCCTTCACCGGAGGGCCACTAACGCGACGCACATGTTGCGGCCACGAGGCCTCTCGTGCCAGGTGGGGCTCCTGGGAGCTGCGGCACAAGGTGACCAAGTCCCCGTGGGCGGATGCGCGGAGACTTTTGCCACTTTTGAAGGCTATTCATGGTTTGATGACTTGGGCTGACCAAGCGCAAGCACATAGGCTTGCAACAATTTCGCGCCCACCTTCCGGAAGTTGAGGAAGATCTGAGCTCTTCAAGGAGGGGTGTGCTCCGCTGAATCCCAGAACCCAACTCTTGGAAGCAAGCTTCAAGTCCTGAATGAGTTGCTTTGCAACACGCGGGATGAAGCCAACTGACAGCCTATGCGAAAAGGGTTCCGGGCGAAGGTCAGACTTCAGTCCAAGCCGGAACAATGGCGATGGGTTCTGGTGATGTTTCCGGGAGGTGCAGAAGGGCGACGCCTGGAATCATGCTTGCGTGGCAATCACCCCTTGCCTCCCTTGGTGGGAGCAGAAAACTGGTTGTGCTGCGGTATGCCGTTTCCCTTTATGTCCTCTCATGTCTGTCCAACAGACCCCTGGAGGAGGGGCAGAGGGCGGATTTCTCCCAGCTCGTCTGTGTGTGCTCAGAAACTGGACGCACGCAGTGCTCCCTGAGTCCCAGCCTCACGGAAGCAAACTTAGCCCATTCTGTCCTCTTGCCACTGGCCATCGGCCGGTCAGGCATGTCGTGCCGCTGGCATGCGTCAACAGCTACCTTGGGATTGTGCGTGAGCCATTGCCAGAGTCGATGAGTTAGTTACACATGGGAAGCAGACAGTTGGACAGTTGGCGACGTCCATGGGCCACGACGCTATTGCGTCGGATTGCCACCGGCGAATCCTATATTCATTTTCTGACGTGCGCATGGCTTTTTGGAAGGCCCCATTTGCACTGGAGGGGTGGACACGTGGCATTCAGGAAAAGGAGCCACTTGCGGGATTCGAGCGTGCAGGTACAAAGGTGCATGACCTAGGTGGTCCAGCAAGGCGAAAGGGATGCTGACATGTTCAAACCGCATCACAGTGCATGCCGGAAGCTGAAATGCTGCGCAATGCAAACCATCGCCTTCGAGCCCTCTGAGTCTATGGGAGTCCGGCGGTGAGTGTGCATGGTGTCTGTGTAAATCCCCTTGCCACAATGCTCCATCGAAGTGAGGGAGGGCAGGGCCCCACAAGGTGATGAAGGGCCGAAATTCTGAAACGAGTGTCTGTCTCGGACTGCTCATGACCTTCGCGTGTTCCCCATTTGCGGGGTGGCCTGTTGCCCAGTCGCCTGTCGGCGAGGGAGGGGGCGGGGCGCGGCTTCCACCCCAAAATGAAACGTTTTGAGCCGCTGCATCTCTCGACGGTCCACAATTGCACCTACCTGCACCTACCTGCACCTGATTCAGGGAGCACCCAATGCGGCAATTGCTCAGAACTTTCTGCAGTCTCGTATTACATGAGTTCCCCGCTTAGTGCCATCACAAGTTCAGAACCTGAACAGACCCGCAACGCCCAGAGCCGGTACCAGGGCATCGGGATACAGCCAACGAACCTCGCCACCATGTGGCCCCTGAGCTGGATGACGGCGCACCTTCTGACTTCTTTCATTAAATCGCCAGTGCACGCCCTGCCAAACACAATTGGCCCGTGGTATCCATTGTTCATCAACGGCTATTGCCCTCCCGTAAGCCTGCCCGCCTGCAGTAGGTAGCCACACGCTCAAGGTGCTACTGGTAAACCCATTTTCGCCGCGACAACACACGCCACAAGGTCCTGTCAGTCGTCGCACTATACCATACCACGCAGGTCGCTGCTTGCAGCGACAGCGCTAATCTTCTAAGCTTCAAAATTCTGCACAATGCAGACAACATTTCAACACTCAGCAGGTCTGGTCGCTCAACGGGCGAACACCTATTTCTGGAACGAGGGATTAGCAGCAGCACACTTTATTGGGCGCCGGCATAGTACCCCATACCCTCGAACGCAAACCTCTACAGCGTTCCCTATCTCACTTCGCCGGTCACCCCCCCCCACAGGTCCTCACAACCAACATCCCCACATCTGCACATCCCTCGCTGACAGACAGTGCCCATATGGCAAAGCATGTGGTGCCAACTCAACTGTACAGTTGGACTATGATTTCCAGCATTGGCAGGCTGGTGGATCAACTGTGTCGTGAGCGTGCACAAGCATTTCAGCATTCTTCAACAACTTGCAGATGCCCCAGAAAGCTCATCGTTCACTTGGGACCCATCCAACAGGCCAGTGTCCCACTTCTGAGTCTCAGCAGCATGACCGGCCTTGGTGGTACTTCCAACACTGCCAGCTGTGCCTCACATTATTCAGAGGACTTGTTGCCCCACCCTGCTGCTAAACCCCAGATGATTACCCCAAGGGAGCGTTTCTTGGGCATCAGTGTGCACAGATCCTTGGTCGTGATGCTAGGCGACCGTTGTCGACCTGCGAAAAACCGAAAACAAGGACTGCGCGGCGTTGGGTCTTGCCATCTCAACACAGGAACAGTACATCACACGAATGGCAGCAACTGGAAACCATGACTAACTGTCTGGTGAATGTATGGGTTCCACACAATGTCAGGAATTCAGTAAGTGCCACTGCATTAAATGCAAATACATTCCTGTCACGACGCCAAGAGTGGCAACAGCGAATCTAGAAGTGCGGCCACTTCACGCAGTGCCACAACAATCGCAGCAGCAGTTCTCCAGACGCCAAACAGGTTTGTTCCACCCAGCATCAGAATCAAGCAGCAAGTCCCAGACAATTGTCTGATCGATGCCATGACCTTGCAGAGTGGGTACTGAATGCTCGGGAGGGAGGATGTCCATCTGTGTTTTCACAGTCTCCATACCAGCACCAGCAGGACATACAGCATTCTTGCTCTGGTTCTTGTTTCTGACGCCTTCAGGCTTTCGTTGGGGTGCTCTCAGCTCTTTTCGATGTTTTCCTCACCCAGGAGACATACTAGTATATTTGTTCCTGACTTCGGACATTGGGCAATTGTATCGCTGGGGCCAGCAGTGTACTGGCTGTCATGCGGTTCTGCAGACACAGTGCCTGTTGCAAAACTTGGGCCCCAACCATTTCAGAATCTTTCCTTCAGTTAACATGTAAAAAAACACAGGGCCAATACGGGCCAAAGTCAGCGTACTGAACGTACTGGACGTGTTAGAGACTCCTAAGGGTTGGACAGAGATGCAGCCCATTCTAATCTTGATACTCATTGCAACCTTGGCAACAACAACGGCCCGCAACTGCGCTTCTTGGGAACACACAAAGACAACAGAACAGCCCTTCCCTTCTAGACAGGTACCTTGCGTCCGAGGCGCTTGGAGTCAGTTCCTGACTGAATTTGGGGGGGAGTGCATGAGCTGTTCAGCCCCGCCTGGGCATTCAACACCTCCTGGTCGCTACGGCTGAGGACGAGGGACATCGTCTTCCGGGCCGACCCCTTTCTGCGGGGCGACAGCAGCAGGGACATTTCCCTTGGCGATGCTGTGCCTATCCTCTTCCCGATCGCATCTGCCAGGAGCCTCGGGTCCAGCGAAGCTGGTTCTTCTGGAATGGGCTGCCAGCAGACAGTGCCAAACACAGACAGTTTCAAACAGTTGTTGGCAAAGGTCGATCAGCGTTGCCTTGACAAGACAAGGGAGCTCAGGATGCCGCCAGCCTCCAAT